TGTTTTTAAAAATCTGGTTTCTAATTGTGGAAATCTTTTTTTCTCTTTTTTCCTTACACACTGAAACCATTCTCTATTTCTCTGTTACAAATATATAGTGTTCTCTCATACTATTGTTTCCTACACCTCCCTATATTTCTTTCTGTCTTCTCAGTCCCCTTTCCCTTCCTTACCTCGAACTCCCATAATAGTCAATTTCCAATCCTTTTACCTTGCAATCAGTGTTAAGCTTTCAGATCATTCCCCTAGGAATCAGAATCTTACAAACTTAGTGGGGTGATAGATAAGGGTTCCAATTGTTTCTTACTCATTCAAGTATATGATTTATTGCTGAATTGTTAATCTTCTTATTGCAGTAGGTCTCCACTTACATAAGGAAGTTAGAGAAACATTGACCAACAAACACAGAAATCAGCATAGAAATTTAAATATGAAAAATGAAAGCAAAAATCCCACACAACTCAACACCTAAACCCAAAGATAATGAATTGGCTGAAATGTTTGAGAGAGATATCAGAAGCCTACTGTTAAAAATGATCAGTGACCACAAATAGCATGCAAATAAACAAATAAATAAAGTTAGGAAATCAATCCAAGTTCTAGACAAGAAAGTCAACAACAGGAAAGAGAAATTCAGCAAAGAAATGGAAATTATGAAAAATAACCAAGAAGAAATATTTCAAATGAAAACCCCAGTAAATCACATAAATCCACAGTGGCTAATATCAGCAGGCAAGACTGAATAGAAGAAAGAATATGAGAGGTAAAAGACAAGATTGAAAAGATATTTGCATACAAACACAAAGAAAAAAGTAAGAATTATTATAACATATCAAAACTCTGGGACAGGATCAAAAGATCAAACATAAGAATTCACAAGGTAGTAGAAGGAGCTGAAATACAAACTAAAGGCACAGGAAGCCTATTCAATAAAATCATAACAGATAATTTCCCAACTCTATGTAATGATATAGACACCCATGTACAGGAAGCTTTTAGAACTCCAAATAGACATGACTAGAAAAGAACAACCCCATGTCATATCATAATTAAAATGCACAAACTGGAGAACAAAGATAGGATACTGACATCTGCAAGAAAAAAAATGCCAGCTTACATACAAATTTAAATATGTAAGAATTACCTCTGAGCTCTCAGCACAAACCCTAAAAGGCAGGAAAGAATTGAGCAATATAATTCAAGCTCAGAAGCAGAATAACGAAAACCAAGACTTCTATACCAGGCAAAGCTGTCCTTTATCTAGATGAAGAATTAAGGGTCTGCCAAGGTAAGGATAAGTTAAAGCAGTTCATGTCCACCACATCTGCATTACAAAGGAAAAAATTCACATGGAAGAGGACAAAAGACAATGACAAGCACAAGGTCAGGAATGAATAAAACACAAAATGGGAACCAATGAACCCATGAAAGCTAGAAAGTAGTAGGCATGATCAACTCAGTAAACTCGCAAAACCCCAAATCGAACAAAGTCAAAAGTAAAGATCAACACGAGACTCAATCTGGAAAAAAAAGAAATAGAAACACAGGAATCAGTAAACACCTCTTAAACATAAGCCTAAATTTAAACAAACTTACCTCTCCAATCAAAAGACACAGATTGTCTGATTGGATCAAAAAGCAAGATCCAAAACTTGATAACAGAATCAAACACCACATTAAAAAGATCATACACTATGACCAAGTAGGTTTCATCTAGGGATGCAAGGATGGTACAACATATGCAAATCAATAAACATAATACTTAACAGAATATAGGACAAAAACCACTATCATATCAATGGACGAAGAAAAAGACATTGACAAAATTCAACATCCTCTTTCCTTTTCTCCCTCCCTCCTTCTTTCCTTCTTTCCTTCCTTCCTTCCTCCCTCCCTTCCTTCTTCTTGCCATTCATCTTCCATGGGTCATGTACCTGCTGTTTCCTCTGCTGGAATGCACTTCCCTGATATCCATGTGGCTCACTTTCTTTTCTGCTTTTGCTCTTTAACCCTAACAATCTCTCCAAATTTTCATATCAACATTTTTTCAGTTTATTAAAATCTATGTTTAAATTTTACTTATTTTTTCTATCATTTTCTTTTATAGCCATGTGGGAATGGATTGATACAGACCAGTGGCAAGTCATTTTGTATGTACAGACTTAGAACTTGGAACCACCTTTCTGAGAAGGGATGTAGAAGAGGGCTGATAATGTGGAACAGTTCAGAGCTACCATAGAAAGATGATCAATTTCTACATGGTTGAGAAACTCCCTCTCCTTCTTAAGATTTGTTCTCGTCAGGAATGGAGCCTCACATGCACTCCCGATATGCTTTGTGTTTACCTGTATTATGTTACAGTATTATCTTGAAATCACCTTCCAAACTGTCTGTCTATGTCAATAGCTCCTTGAGTTTTGGTACATATTTTCAGAGATGTAACCTTGGTACTAGCAAAAATCTTTCAGTGATATTCATTCATCATTGAATGATTCCTTAATGAATAATTTTAAACAGGAAATACAGAATCTGAATAAAGTCACAAAGATCAGCTGATGACTACTTAGAAGCAGAACAGTTGGACACTGTTTAGAATAATCACTAGAGTTCAGTTGGGAAGGAAGAGTGTACAATGCATCTTTTCTAATTGAATTTGTAGGTTTGAATAAAGTTATTTTTAACCTGAACATGGCAAGGGGATGGGTTATTCTCCTATCCAGCAAAGTACAACTTTATTTTCATATGGAAGTAGCAGCAAAAACATCATTAGAACCTAAACAGTAAGTGTATGGGACTGATAAACACTATTCATTTAAAGAATGGTTTAAGCTTCCTAAGCAAGTTCCAAGAAGTTTAGCTAATTATTATTAAATCCAGAGTATTTTGCACTAGATGCTGTTATGCGGGCATGTCAGGCTCAATCTATCTGAGTTTGTAACACGTTATCTGACTACATATGTATTATCTACCTATCTATCCATCTTCAATCATCTATCTATCTATCTGTCTATCTAATCTATCATCCTCTATATCCTAAACATTCTATAACCTGTTAATGATATAATAAGAAAGTATTAGATGCTTAAAAATAATTTTTTTTGGCCAGGACCAGAAAAAAATTATTACTAAACACCTTGTCCTAATTTGCTACAGAAATTTTTGTAGGTATAGGAGATAGTTTATTTCATGTTGATCATGACTGATTAGGTATAAAGAAACTTAGTCCCTAGTTGGGGCATCATTTAACTTTGTAGCATTCACTCTGATGATCAGGCAGAATAGAATCACCATCAATCACTTCAGCGAGTCTCAGGACAAACTACTTATCTGTGCTCACTGAATTTTCCTGGGTTAAGGGACAGAAACAAATGCTACACTTTAAAATATATTTCTTGAGCTTTCTACTGTAAAATATAATTTCAATGGTGATTTGTATATTAATGCTCATTTTCACCAAAATCAAAACCAGTGTATCAACTGACTTTTTAAATGGTGTATAAATTAATGAGAAACACTCTCATTTCTTATGTAACTAACTTCACTAGTATGGGTGGAAATAGAGGTAAACTATGGACAATATAAAGGTCCTGAGATTTTACCAGACCACAGCAGCCACAACTGCTATTCCTTTAGTACTTTATGGTATTTTAGCTCAGTGTATGGGTCACTTCAACATATTCTAAGGTGTATTTAGCACTTACATATTTTTGACTAACTTCAAGTTTACATGACGTTTTTCCTGTTTTCCCACTGCCTGATACATTATTAAATTAGTGTATGAGAATGTGCAATAGTCTAATTTTGTTCTCAGATTCAAAGCTTCTTCTAGCATTTAAAGTACAATGTGTGTGCACATACATACGAATAGATTTTGAGAATGGAGGTTTAAAATTAGAAAATAAAACCCTGTGAGGCAAATAATTTCAATGATTTTTAATTCAACTATTGGGAAATTCAAGCATTGGGAAAACTGATAAAGTTACATAGACGTGTGACAGATACTAACAGTAAAATTACACACATTAACAATAAAGGTTAAGTTTCTAGTCTCTGATTGGTTCAAGTTGGGGGACTTGTTAAAGCTGGTATTGAGGAAATTTCTTGTCTGTGATGGAAGGAGTTTCAATGATGTTTTGTAATTCTGACATTTTAATACATATAATACTATTTCAGCATAATTTCTTTACATATATGCTGTTGATCTGAACTGGTGCTAAATATCATACATTAATGAAATATCATTTCATTTACTTGTTTACTATTAAGATATATATCTGTTAATTATAGCCTGCCAAACTGACTAGATATAAATCCTGACACTATGAACTAGTTTTCATTATAAGTGAGAAATAAAGTGACAACCTGACTTAAGTCATCTAGAAAGGGAATGATCGAAAAAGTAGGCCTGTGTGATTATCTTCCCTTTGGTATCACTATCATATATCTTTGTTTTATGAAATAAACCTGAAGGAGAGTAAGGCTCAGAAACAATATATTTAAGCATAAAAGATAATGTTAGTAACAAAGGGAACTAAAGCTTGTTTTTACCTACTCATTAGGAATAACATGCAACTCTTAAATATTTCTATTAGCTTCTTTCAGCAATTCATTGCTAAACTTCTAATCCCAGACTAGTTGAAGCATAGGTGACAATCTAAGGAGAGCATGGTGCCTTATCCTTAAGTATTTAATAGCTACTTTAATTAACAGTTTACTTTCACCCTCAGTAATAAAATTAAGTGATACAAAGTATATTTCTTGTTGACAATGGATCAAAAATGTCACGACAAATTAAAAAAGTAGTACATTACATTATTTTTAAAAGCTTTTACCAGTCAAGGCAAAAAGGAAAGAGTAAATCAGTAAGACATGTTTTTATGTATTTCAAAAAAGACAAGACAGCCAAGAAATTTGTCATTTGGTACAACATAATATTGTTTTGTTTGTTTTTTGTAAAGAGAACTAAACCCAGAGTGGATAAATTTTATTTGAAGGTAACACTAGTATCTTTTCTTCTTCTTACATTTCTGGAATTTTTGGTTATATTCGTTTCCCCTATCATTTTCTGTACTACTATCACTATCACTGTTTTGCTTTTGTCTCTTCCGTGTATTCATCTGATAAAGGTCAGAGTCACCTGGTTGTTGGTGAGTCCATTCATACGAACTGGGTCCAGCCTCCAAACCTGGGACATGATTTAGTGAGGAAGACCCAGCCGCGATGCTCGGGAGGGGAGCAGTCATCTCATAGTATGGGAGCTGTAGCACTGGATTTTGTACATACCACTGCTGTGACAAAAAGATATTCATCTACCAATACACATGCAAATGTTAAGCAGCAAAGTCAACAGTTTACATGCACAAACAGTCAAATGGAAGCCAAACTGCATTTTGGTATAAGACAATGCTTTTTCATGATAGGGGTGTGGGAGTTTCCTTGAATGGTTACATAATTAACATACAGGTTCAAGATAATGCTTGGGGTTTACTACAATATAGATTAGCACTGCCCAAAAGAAACTTAATGTGAACCACAAATATACTTGTAAATCTTCTAGTAGCCACAGTATAGAAGTAAAAAGAAAAAAGAAACAGGTAAAATTAAATGATACATGTAAATGTACCAATATAACCAAAATATTATCATTTTAATATGTTACCAATATGAAATTGTTAATGAGATATTTTACTTTTATTTTCCTATTAAGTTTTCAAAACTAAAGTTGCATTTTATACTCACAGTACATCCTACTTGGATGCTAAATTGTAAATACTTGATCTGAATTTAGATTACATAAAATTTACTGCTGAAAATAACATATCCAAACTGTTTCAAACATATAGAAAAAGTTCCCAATGACCAAATCAAGTACTGATTTTAAAATTTAATAAAAACTAGTTGAAATTAAAATCTTTTTAGGTGTGCGTGTAGCTAATGGTTCCATGTTGTACAGCACAGTCATCATGATTAAGTTAGAGAGATGCTTCTGTTTTGAAAAACATATTAACACTAGGCCTGACATGGTGGCATATGCTTGTAATCCCAGCCACTCAGAAGGCAGAGATAGGAGGATTGTGACGCAAGGCAGTGCCAGATCAAAAGTGCTAAAAATAGCAAAAACATAAAAAGACTGGGAACTTGGCTTAAGTGGTAGAGTATCTTCCTTGCAAGCACTAGGCCCTAAGTTCAAACCCCAATACTGCCAGAAGACAAACAAACAACTCACCCCCCTAAAATGAACAAAGCCAAGTCTGTTCTAATTTCTAACTCTTCAAAGCAGAATGGAGACTAACAGTGATAACATGAACTAGCTCCCTAACTCATCCCCACTCTATCGAAGACAGAAAGTGCTAGAAGACTTTGACAGTGTTTGATAAGAACTGGTTGTTGATTAATATTTATCTATAGTTAAGGAAGGGTTTTGTCCAAAAATTGGAGCATCATTTTATAGAAAACTTTGTTTACTAAATAAAAACTGTTATTTGAAAACTTCAGTGTCCATACATGTTAGGTACATGCAAAAAAAAACAGTCTGTGAATTAGAAGACCTGTATTAATCCCTCATCTGTCACTAATAGGTCTATAATCTTGGGTTTGATGATGAATATCATTAAACTTCCATTTCCTTACCAAAAAAATGAAGGGTTAAAAGGAAAAAGTATTCTAAAAATAAATGCATAATTCAGATTTCTAGTCTAGAACCAATTTTTGAGAGTCTTTGGAATGTATTTTACTGATTGAGAATCTTCATATAGTTTTTTCTTTAATTAAAAGAGATATTTATTTACTTTTTTTTTTCCACAGGCAGGGTCTCACTATATAGCCAAGTTGGCTTTGTACTTGCAATCTTCTTCCTCAGCCTCTTGAGTTCTGGGATTACAGGTGGGTGCTACCATGCCCAGCAACAAGTTTTTAAAAATCCATTTCAAAAGGCTGGGCAGGATGATACATGGATGTAATTCCAGCTATTCAAAGGTAGAGACTGGGAGGATCATGGTTCAAGGCCAGCCCAGGCAAGAAATCAGCACAACCCATTTCAACATGTAAACTGGGCATGTGCCTATAAACTCACAGCTACTTGAAGACATAGGTAGGAAGATCTCTGTCTGAGGCTTGCCCTGGGCAAAAATAAGAGACCCTATCCAAAAACCAACTAAAGCAAAAAAGGTCTGGGGTATATCTCAAGGGGTAGAGTGCCTGGTTAGCAAGGACAAGGTCCTGAATTCAAACTTCAATAGTGCCAAAAACAAATCCATTTCCAAGAACAATCTATGTGTGCTCAATGACATTACCTAAAAATACTTCACACTAAGAAATATTTAAAAGAACACCTTTCAAAATTGTGATTTAAATGAGAACTTGGTACTCAAATTTCACTGGGACAACTGTGTCATTACCACCATCCATCTAGCCCACTCCTGCTGAAGTATGATTATGGGATCTAAGATGACCTTGTAGGAGCAGAACAATGTTGGGGTAGCTCCATATTCATGCTAGGTTTAGGTCTGAGGAACAACTGTTATTAATAGTTTTCACCATTTTGTAGTTTGTGTACATATACCAAACCAAATGCATATCCAACTTACCATATTCTGAAAGAAAAAATATTCTTGAGGTAAAGAAGTATTATTGATTGGAAAAAAATGCACGGGAAAGGAAGATCTTCCCACCATTTCTTCATTCCTTGGGAGAAATAAAAGAAGTATGAAAATGTTAAAGTTTCTAGATACAAATGTCATTTTATCTTAAAAAAATGATAGCTTTACATAATTAGAAAAAAAGAGCTTCTCTGATAGCATTAAGACTAATTAGGCATACAAAAATATTCAGTTATTATTCTGATAATGCAGCAACATAGCAATATATTAATTACTTAATTATAAATAACTGAAATCTTAATATTTAGAGTCACATTTGGATTTCTGGTAAGAATGTGTTAATCATATTACATTTGTATAATGTCAAACCCAGATGAACCAGAAAGCTCTTTCTCTGGCCAAATGTATATATTCCCCCATGTTTTTGAGAGACAAGGAAGATTAGCTCTAGGACCTTTTCATCTGAATGGACACCCTTGCTCAAATCTTAGAGTGTGCATCACCACACTACAGCAGGAAAGGCTGATATAGCAGAGAGAGAAACAGGGCCTGTGAATATCAGTATAACCAGAACTCAGTTATATTTGTATCTTATCCTAAGTAGGCTAACCTATCCAATTATCTTTGCTCTTGCTTTTCAATGTGTCTTTCAAACTGTGTTTTAAATCAATTTGGTTTTGGAGTCTTTCTATTCTATGACCTCTGGGATAACCTGCCAGATAGTCTTCTTGGAAGTTATTGCATCAAGAAATCAGGCTACACAGAATTCTAGAATATTTCAAAATCAACATAGAGAGGTTGTAAAAAATAGTAAATAATCAAATGGCCTAATTTCAGAAAGATTAGTTTCAAGGCCAGCACTTTATCATCCTTATGACCTTGATAACTGGTCTGCTTTTGCATCTGCATTTACTAAAATATAAAATATGGATAACAGTATTTTACGATCCATCACAGCAAGACCTTATATTTTTAAGTGATTTATTAGGCATAAAAGCACAAAGGCAACTATAAAGAATACCACAAATGTAAATCTCTACCACTTGTTACTGAAAATATTAAGATTGAATTTTAATGAAATTATTTTCTGTCAATTTTCATGGATTTAGGAAATGAACTAAATTTTATCCTATGTCTAAATAATAAGGTTTTTCAATAGCCCAAAATACGTTAAAACTCTTGCTGGCTCATATTTAGCTACAATCTATATTTAATACATGTTATAAAGAATATGTTTACCTGTTTTACCTTTTGGAAAAATATATTTTTAATTACCTGTAGCTGTGTGAATTTATCTTAACACAGCTCTCAAAACTTTGGCTAGCTGGTTCAGAGGAGCGAGAACTCCCTTTAAAAGAAACAGAATAGATTAATTTATGGTATAATTATTTGGAGTTCTAACATTGAACCATAAAATAATCCAACATCTTAAAAACTGGGTGTGGTAGTGAAAACCTGTGATACTAGTATGTAAGAGGCTGAGGCAGGAGGATCAAGAGTTCAAGGCCAGTCTGGGCTATACAGTGAGACCCTGTCTCAAAAAACAAAAAAATCTAAACAAAAACAGAACCAAGAAACAAAACCCAGAATTCTTTAGGACATAGCATTGACTTAAAATTCCAAAGTAATGTAAGACACATGCACTTCTATCTTATCTCTTAAGTCACATTTATAGATTTCTTACATTATCATAAATGAATAATCAAATGTTGTCCCAAAGCAATGATCATGCTTAAGAATGACAATAACTTGGAACTGCATAACATACATGTTTTATTCTACATGACACTAAATTTAAAAAGGAAAAAAATCATTGTTGTTTGCTTACAGTATATAAGGCAGAAGTTCTCTAAACTGCCTCTAAAAGCCAATTCAACCTTACACAGGATGAGTGAGAACATAATATGCCTCGCTGAACCAGTTAAGCAGGCAGTGCCAAACAGCAATACAACTATACGTTAAAATAAATGAAGTGAAAAGCAAAAAGAACTATTTCTTTGCAAGAAGACATTGCTTTTGTTATTCTTACTTGTTTTTAGTAGAGCAAGGGAAATTTAAAAAGCCAAAAAATAAAGAAGTGATACATCAAGGAGCTTAAACCACTTATGGGAGGCAACATGAAGATTGCAAGACTTACCCCAGTGGCTTCTATCAGTCCACTGAAACACCAAAGCGCTGGTGCAATAGTCTATCATCCTCTGGGCATCTCATTATAGATTACTAGTTTCTGACACGTTGCAGGAGAAGGCATCTGAGGCCACTCATGCTACGAAGCCTTCTACTAAGGTCACTCCACATCTACATTTGTCTAGTTTGCTCTTACAGGGACTTAATCCAGTCCCTGGAAATATGTTCAAAGTGGCTTCCCCAGAAAGACTAATTTGAAAGGGCTTATCTTCCAAAAGTAAGTATTTGATACCATACATGAATAGTGGTTAGAATAGCCAACACCCTTCTATATAAAACTTAGAGCTATGCTTTCTTAGTTCATGTGGATTTACTCAATTTATGAGTTAATAGTGACCATCACAGCTATTTCTGGACCAACTCTAAAACAGAACATTTTAAATTTTAAAACAAAGAAATGCTATAGGTTTCACAATGTAATTGGGAAGACTACTTAATTATATATATTTTTTTGAGAAAATTTAACAGCAACAAGATACTTTGTCTTATACTACATGGAAAACAAGATGCTTACATCTCTGAGACTGACAGCAAGCAGGAAACACACTTTGAAGATTCACCAGTTAGAGAGCAGGACTTACCAAATCGATACTGCACATTAATTGGTCTTCCATATAAACGAATTCCATTCAGCAAAGCTATGGCATAAGATACTGATTCTGGGTGCTTAAAGCAAACAAATCCAAAAGACTTCGGCTTTCCTTCTCTGTCTTTGCATATAGTCACTTTGGTTAGTGGCCCAGCCTACAAGAAACTTAAAAATTATTTTCTCATAAATCCAAAGATTTTTTTAAACTCAGATAAATCAAGTAAATTCAGCTCTGAGTAAAATGAAAATCTGTTAGAAATAGCTTTATAGCTCTGCTAATAATGTATCATCCTAAAAAACATCATCATTCCTCAATACTGTCTTTGTATTTTCTGATTTATCAAAGCAACATTCATGGGAAAGAAAATTTAATAGTTTCAAATATTGTTTTTAGGTTTTACAGACTAATTTAAAGAGCATTTGACTCTAAGACTAAAATTCTACTTTGTCTTCAAATACACTTGTAGTAGTCAACTAAAAACCAAATTAAGGTGGGGCGCCAGTGGCTCATGCCTGTAATCCTAGCTACTCAGAAGGCAGACTATCAGGAGTATCACAGTTCAAAGCCAGCCGGGCAAATAGTGCACGAGACCCTATCTTGATGAACCCTTCACAAACATAGGGCTCAAGGTGAAGGCCCTGAGTTCAAGTCCCAGTACTGCAGGAAAAAAAAAAAAACTGCAATGACAAGTTCAATATTAGTTAAGTCATTGTTTAAAAAAAAAGGGCAATATAGGCTAGGTATGATGTTCCACACCTGTAATTCTCACACTTTGGAGGCAGAGGCAGGAACATCACAAGTTTCAGACCAATCTGGGCTATACAGTGAGACCCTGTCTCAAAAAAATTAACCAGCACCATAATATTAGTTGGACTGGGGGCTTACCTAATAAGTGCAAGACCCTGAGTTAAAAAAAAAAAAAAAGGTCTTTTTAAGAGAAACTAAATTTATCAAGTATTTTGATCTAGTAACACCAGTTGGTAAATATTCCCAAGGGAAAAATGCTTTTATATGTTTAAGACCTTTAATTATTGTGGGTGCATTATTTATAAGTGTGAAAAATGAGAAAGTCTAAATTGCAGATATTATGCTGTTATATTATTAAAAATGGAATAAAATACCCCAAATAAAAATTTTTAGATTATAGATTGAAAACCTCTGATAAGGAATGGAAAATACAAAGCAAAGTCAAATATTGTAGAGAAATGTTAATCACAACTCAGAAATTACCTCACCTCCATGATCTCCATTATAGGAGATGACCACACAGTCTTACTACAAAGAACTGATTTAGTGGTGAATGGTGCATGCTTTAATGATTATTTTTCTCTGTAGAGTTGAATAAATATATAAATTGTTCTTTTATTAATTTATAGAAAAATACTAATTACCATCCTCAAAATGGTGCAGTATCTTGGGATTCAGTCCTTCTCTTTGCACCTGTGTCCTCCCAGGGAAGAGCTCATCTTGCCTTTGCCATCAAGGAGATCCTCACCAATCAGCCTCTTTCTCCCACTCAAATTACTTTCACAGAGATAGCTTCCTAGAAACCACTTTGTGGCTATGCATCAAACTCAACATAGTTGTAGCTGAATTCATTGTTTTTCCCCCTAAATCTCTACTCTAATATTTCTTAATTAAAAGTAATAATAAGTCTGATTTTCCCATTTTAAGAGATTTTCAGAAATTGGAAACTACTTTAAAGGATAACATAGTAATAAAAATAAAAGCAATTTTCTAGTTTAACAATTCTTACTTTTCCACTATTGATATTAATCATATGGAAGTATAAAGGAACAAAACATGCTTAAATAATTTCAAATTAATAAGTAAATTTAGATATGCCAAAGAATTTTAAATATAAAATGTAGCAAGAAGATTTACTCATAGCAGAGATCACATTTTATAGTCTTTTAAAACCAGAATGAAACATGTTTGTGTTATGTTCTGGGTTTTGACCACAATGCTCCACCAAAAAAAATCTTAGCTCTGATAAAGTTTCAGCAATGTAGCAGAATTCAAAATCAATGCAAAAGAATCAGTAGCTTTTATATGCGAGTAACAAACATATTGAAGAAAGAAATCATGAAAACAATGCTGTTCATAATAGCCTAAAAAACTACCTAAGAATAAATCTAATCAGAATAGTGAAAGAATGCTGTAACAAAAACTATTAGGACACTGAAGTCAGAAATTGAAGAGAGGTCTGGCATGGTGGTACATGCCTGAAATCTCAGTTACTTGGGAGACAGGAATAGGACGATCACAGTTTGAACCCAGCTCTGGTCAAAAGTTAGGGAGATCCTATCTCAAAAAATAAGCTGAACATGTTGACACACACCTGTAATCCCAGCTACTGAGGAAGGGGAAGTAGGAAATCATGGTCCAAGGATGGTAGAGATAGGAGGATCATGGTCCATGGGTGGCCCAGGTAAAAACTGGAGACCCTACATGAAAAATTAACTAAAAGCAAAAGGACCTGGGGCATGGCTCAAGTGGTAGAGTATCTGCCCATGGTGAGGCTCTGACTTCAATTCCCAGTATTAAATAATAATAATAATTATTATTATATTAATAAACTAAAGAAGACATTTGAGGATGGAAAGTCCTTCTATATTCATGCATCGGCAGAATTAAAACTGTGAAAATGGTTATTTTACTAAAGGCTATCTACAGATTCAATGTATTCCCTCCAAAATTCCAAAGACATTCTTTGCAGAAATAGAAAAAAATACAAAAAATCATATGGAAGATGATTCTGAAAAGTAAAAGCAATCATTAGTAAAAATAGCAATGATAGATCACAACATTGACTTCTAATTACAGAAACAAAAACAATATGGCACGGACAAATAAACAGACATGCACACAGAATAGAGGACCCAGAAATAAACCTGCAAGCTACAGCCCTCTGATTCTCCACAAAGGTCTGAAAAACATTCATTGGAGAAAAGGCAGCCTCTTTAACAAATGGAGATGGGAAAACTGGATATTCACATGTAGAAGAATGAAACTAGATTCGCATCTCTGTTTACAGAAAAATTAATTTAAAATGGATCAAAGACCAAATGTAATACCTGAAACTGAAACCACTAAAGGGAAAAACACATCAAAATCTAGGCACAGGCAATGACTTACTTAATAGGACTTCAGTAGTTGAGGAAATAAGAGCAAGAACTGACAAATGGGATTGCATGAAATTAAAAATCTCAGTACAGCAAAGAAACAAATTACCAGAGTGAAGAGACAACCTGAAGAGTGTGAGAAAATTTTTGTAAAATATTCATCTGACAATGGATTAATATCTGGGATGTAAAAAGAGTTCCAAAAATCACACACACACCCAAAGAACAAATAAACCAATTAATAAGTGGGCAAATAAACTGAGAACAGAGAGTTCCCAAAAGAAATACAAATGGCAAACTGTTCAACACCCTTAGCCATAAAATAAAAGCAAATACAAACTACAGAGTCAGCATCTCATTCCTGATCAAAATAGCTATTAACGAAGAAACAAACAATAAATGCTAGTAAAGGTGCAAAGAAAAATGAACCCTTACACACTGTTAGTGGGAATGTAAATTAGTGTAGCTAGTATGGAAGTCAGCATGGAAGTTCCTGAAATAACTAAAAATATATCTATCATATGATTGTGCTGTATCTCACCTGGGTATATAACCAAAAGAATGTAAGTCAGTATACAAAAGAGATAATTGCACCTCATGTTCGTGTGGCAGTTTTCACAGTAGCCTAGTAATCAGCCTACGTGCCCATCAAGGGAAAAATGGATAAAGGAATCATGGTATATTTACACAATGGAGTATTATTCAACCATAAAGAAGAATGAGATTGTTATTTTCAGGAAAATGGATGGAAATGGATATTTTCATGTTAAATGAAATGGGCCAGAATCAGAAAGAAATACCAAATATTTTCTTTCATATACAGAAGCTAGATCTAAAAACAGACAAACAAACAAATACACAAACATAAAAGGAGGACATCTGGGGGAGACCAGTCAGGGTGATAATAGAGGGTGATGGGGGCAAACATGACCCAAGTACATAGTATACATGTATGAAAATGTCATAATGAAACCATTATTTTGTAAAAATAAAAAATATTCTTAAAAAAATACCACACTTTAACAAATTCTTCCTGGCCAAAAATAAAAATACATGCTTGTTGCCTGACCTATTCAGTAAGACATATTTTAATTAGATAGAAAAAGAAATTTAAAAAACTGAGAAGGTGACATATATTGCCTTATGAATTCACACAGTAGATATACACTCAGTCCATACTGGCTAGAAATTACCTGTGTGTATGGGGTATTGCAATTTCACCAACATCTCACTTCAGCCTCCTTTTTAGAGGCTCAACATGAAAGAAGCCTTCTGGAGCAAAATAACTGTTTACTTTTTTTCTTCTTTTCCATTTTAAAGAATGTTAAGTTTCAAATCATTTTGTGCAAAAAACAAAACCAGAAAAGATTAGAACTTTTCTTCTAAAAGCATCCTTTAAAAAGATAGCAAATTAAAAAGATGAGCATAAGTGTCTTAAAATTAACATTTTTCAAATCATAAAAAGTTTTATGTCTAGGAGAAGAAACTGCTGGTGGAGAAAACCTCTCTACCAAACTGTGAGTATATAAAAGTAACAGGAGAATACTGTTATATTTAGAGACAAAGGTCTTCTAAAAATACTTAAAAATTCCTTTAGCCTCTGGTAACACTTAACAGTATGGAAATTATCTCCATTGGAAGGTTCCCTCATTTTAATAGGTGGAAATCACTGTTGAGTTCTCTTGAGGCTGGCATTATTCCTAATAGCAATGGTAGTACTACTAGTAGCAGCTGCAACAAACAGTAAGTGTAGCTGTTTTACTAGGTTAGCTCATATTCCTCACAATCACATCATAGTATGGACACTTTCACTCCCATTTGACACTTGAGGACAGTGAGGCACTTAGATTTTCATTTACTGGTCCTAAGTCACATTGCTGACTACAGAGGTCACACTTTCAACCAATTTCTATCCTATGCACCCCTTTGTTCCATAGGTTATTCTAAATCATAATTGAAAAATTCTCCTTTTAGAAAGCCCAAGGGGTGGCTCTCAAACTTGTATACCCCACAACTGACTTCATATTTGCCTGACAATTCTCAATCATTAAGCCGTCAGATGAGTGACTGAATAAAGATTATCACTCTGGCAAGTGAGACTAGGTGGACACAACAGGTGAGTGGGTTTACAATATACTGGAGACTTAATCCTGGAAGTACCAGGTCTCAAAAAAAAAAAAAGTTTCAGAAGGTCTCTTGGTATGAAATAAAGGCCTTGGCCAGGGAATTTAATTGCTGCAGTCGTGGAAAACGGACTGCCCCATGATCACAAATCCCACTTATCACACCGGAATAAAAATGCTCTGGAGGTAATGAATGAATGATGCACACGGACATGTTTAGTTTCGCTCACTGGGCTGATTCCCTGGGGAAGACAGCGGCAGGGCTCGGTTCTGGGTCCGGTCCCATGGGGCATTTCCGAGGCCCAGGCAGCCTCGGGGACCCTGACTCAGGGCTGCAGTCTTGTGGGGGCGGGGAGGAGACCCAGTCACTGCCCAACACCCCGGGACTCTGCAGTGGGAACAGTAGGACATTACGTCACTTCCTCCCCCAGCTGCTGGGGCGACAGGTGAGCCCAGGTGAAGCCACATCAAAACCCAGGCCCTGGAGGGCGGGCGGGAAGGGGCCGGCGCCTGCGGTCCAGGTGCGCCCGCCTCTCCGGGGGCGCCTCCGCCGTCCGCCGCTCTTTCCCCGAGGATGGTACCTGAAGGAACAGCTCGTAAAGAATCTCCTCCCGCACCCGGGCCTCTAAATTTCCTACAAACACCGTCCTGTCGGCCTCGTCCTGCGCAGGGAACATCCCTCCTCAAATCTTCGCCCAAGGATGGAGGAGGCACCAAACCTCGCCCCTCCGCCCGGCTTTCCTGCGCCGCGCTGGCGAGGGAGGCGGGGCCGGCGACGGGAGCGCGCGCGCCGGCGGCGGGGCCACGCCCATCGCGTCCCCGCGGGGCCCCGCCCACCACGCTGACGCCCCGCCCCCATCGGCCCGGGAGGGTGGGTGAGAGGAGAGAGTAGGGCTCCAGGGACGTTCCAGTTTTCTTATGGGGATGCCCTCTATATTCTCAGGCACAATATTCACTGATTTTGGATTTATGCAACCAACATTTTCAATAAAACACTATAGAGATGATGTAAGGTTTAGTAGCTTCACTACAGAGGCTTCTAGGCCAATGAGAAAAATATTGGTCTCCAAAGAATAAATCACTAAGGTTTTAAAATCAGATTATTCCTAAGATAACTTTTGAAAGAACAAATGCATGCACGACTGGTGATACAATAGAGAACTAAAATTAAAGTTTATTTGCCAGGAAACGGTCACAATAGAAGTCTTTGAAAACGACAACAGAAATTTTAGGTGGGCCCTAAAAGGCAGCTGAACTTGGATCTTGGGAAATTACACAGGACCCTGCAATTCCTGTAAAATCCTGCAATAGTGAGGACTCGGGTGGGTCTTTAGCTTCGTGTCGTGGTGGGAAATCTCTTGAAGAAGGTATACCTTTGTAAAGGGTGATGGGCCAGAAAAATCATCTTTTCCAAGGAAAAGGACACATTTTAGGAAATCCTAATTTCTCATTTAGCTCTGATAATGCTGAGTTTTTTGTCCTTGGAAAAACAACTTCTTTTAGGAATTCTGGGTGTTTCTTAAGGAATGGACTAAATATAGTTACTTTGTTCAATAGTGCTTCTTGTTAGGCACTCCGTCTTTAGCCCTGGGAAACAAAGATAAATATAAAAATCGTCCCTGTGAGAAAAGCAGACTTCCTATATACACAAATACTAACGTCAGCTGACATTTCATGATTCTCAGTCCTGTCTCTGTCTTTTCCTCTTCCTTTCCGGTCTTCAGTATAATTGTAGTAGGGTAGGAGGACCTCGAGGAAACAAGTACATTGTAAGCAAATACCAAATGTATGTTGATCAAATGAATGAATACCTGCAGGTGTCTGTTACGCAAAGATCGCTTTACATATTTGTGTATTTACCTCAAAATTCTTATTCAATCCAAGGTATTTCTTCTTTTTGCCGTATTAGGGATTGAGCTCAGGGCCTCATTCATAGTAGGGATAGCTTGTAAGGATAGCATACACCAAGCTCTTTTGTTTGTATTTTTGTTCTTCAGATTGGGTCTTGCTAACTTTGTCTGGGCGGGCCTTGAACTTGTGATCCTCCTGTCTATTCTTCCAAGCAACCAAGGTTGTAGGTGTATGCCACCATACTTGACCCAACATGTCTTCTCTTTTACTTCCCTTCGCCCACGACTAATCTGGGAGTCAGATTTTTAAGTTTCATTGTAAAAAGTATATATATATATAATATATATAATACATATGTTATATATATAACTGATCATGCTATGAACCCTTGTATTTACTAATAATTAATGATCATATTATTAATCATATTATATTCTTATATTGATGTTTACCATTCTTTGTCTGAAAACGTAAATGACTTTGGTGCTCTTATCATGCTCTCTTCTCTTTCGTCCATAAGTTTGTAGTGCTTATACTTCTAGAGTATTTATTGAATGTTACAACCTCTGAAATTCAGCACATGCAGTTAGCTTGTTCATAATTTGATTTCTGTAGGTCATTTTCCTAATGTAAGTATATTGATTTCCTAACCCATATGAATGCTTCATGGTAATAGAACTATCTAAAAAATAATTCACTCTATGGAGTGTTTACTGAGTTATTAGTCACATATAAGGGTTTTGCCATTTTTCAGCCTGCCCCTTGAGCTCCCTACAATGATAATGGAGGGTTTCTACACCTATCTATCTTCATTATTAATCCACAGTATATGCATTATTAGACTAATCCTTCATTCTTAGATAATGTATATTTTTCATTTTTGGCTATTTTTAAAATGCTGAAGTGAATGTCGTTGTTCTTGTGTCTTTGTGCATATGTGGTCCATTATCACATGGTATAGCAAAGTACCTTGGATGTTTAATTTCTGAGTCAAAGAGTAAGAGTATTAAGTAATTTTGTCCTAAATTGAACTAAATTAAATACAATTTCTACCAAAATCAATTCTGGTAAACAATGACTCTCATCACACATTATTCAACTATAATAATCTTTAAAGTGCTCAGAAGCCTGACTGATGCAGAGAGTTTCTTCAGCCTTACAGGATCAAAATTACCATCAACATCACTTATACCTTTGTGCTATTGTTTATTGCTATTTGTATATGGGTTTTCAAGCTTCTTACAATCATTTTTATTTCTAAGTTGGACTAGATAAGTACACAAATGTCTTGCTAAAGTACTGGCATTTTGTATAATATTCTGTCACCTCCTGATATTTCCTATTTAATGCAATAAGCATCAATAAACCCAGTGTTCTCGTATTGACGATAAGTAAACTACATGATAATGAAGAAACGTAATGTTGTTTTGAAACTCTGCTAGGTACTGTACTATCTGAAATGCCAAGTTCTTAAGAACTCTTTAGAGTGATAAAAATAATATGTAAGAGTTATATTACAGTGCCATCTTAAAAGCACACAAAAGAAGAAAAATTATATGTTCAACAACACAACTTTTGATTTATTAAGTATGAATTTGTTAAAAATATGCTTTAAATGTGTGACCTATTAGCTTGTTTCTGCCTTCTGAAATGATGAACTTTATTTACATCTCTATTATGGAGTATAGTTACTATAGCCAAATGCTGTGGAAAGGCCTAGATTTTTTAGTGGTAACAAAAAGAAATCTATTGGTGGTGCCCTTCAAAAATAAGTCTTCACATAAACTCTCAGGGAGCAAACCAGTCAAATTAGTGATGAAATCTCATCAGCAGTTACATTTTCATGATTGTAAAACGAGTGTCTTTTTGTCTGTGCCCTTCTGACACATATCTCCAGACCTCAGATTAGTTTCTGCTAATCTATGATGTAAACTAAACAGTCTGTTTTTACTGTACTCTCAGAACTTTATAGAGACATGAAGTTTCTAAAAACAAATTTAGTTTTTGTACTTGTAATCTGTGTGCTTAGAACGTCTTAATTTTCTTTGTTGCTAATGTCCATTACTGGGAGGAAAATAAGAGAAGAATTAAGTAAGCATGTAAAGAGAAAATCTATAATAATTTAAAAATGGTGTTACATTACAAACAAAAGTAGTTTTATCTTCATTTTCCAATTTTAACATCATGAGACAGACTAGACTTTAAACTTTTAAAATATCCTCTGTGTTTTGTATGTAAAATGCCATACATATTAAAAGATTGTATTTTATACTGGACAGTTTCATGGGTATGGATTTCACATGTTGATTTTATGGTGCATGAAGATAACTTAGTTTGTAATCAAAATGAACATAAAACACAACTTTTTTCTGACTCTTTCCATTTCTGGCATTTTCTAACAACACATTTTTTGTTCTAGGCTTTCCAAAAACATATTCTTCCAGACCACTTCTGAAATCCTGAGGCTAAAAGGAATAAAGAAACATATAATTAGCTTTTTCATTCCCTTAAATTCAACTTGTGCAGCTGAACATTTGTTCCTGACTTATTACAGAGTTGTTGACTTAAAAATCCTTCTCACGAGCCAAATGGGAGAAAACAAACTACCCTACTTATTTCAACAGAGGGAGGAGCAAAAATCATTTTTACAGTAAAACCTGCCGGACTGTGACAGTCCTATCAGAGAGAAACCTTAATGAATTACTGACTTTTTTTTTTTTGGTGAAAAAGTGCTGCTTTTACCGTTGTTGATTCCAAATGAGAATACACATTTTTCTGTGTTTGATGTTCTGGGTAAAATCTGGTAAGATACTTATTAATAATTTGTTTTTCAAAAATTGCATGTAAAATAATAGTGTCCTCTGTATTCTGAGATAAAGAGTGTTAAGATATCATAGTATGAGGAAATATACTGTGATTATACGTACTAATTAGAGCAAACCAGATTACTGTTAAGGTTTTGTGTATGCATGCATGTGTATATACTTATGTTTGTATATGGTAAATACAAGTTCTACAGTTTACTTATTTTTAAGGTAATTTGTGGCTAGAAAGTCTTTTAAAAGATGATGGGTAAAGGAGGTGAATGTGGTTGATGTGCTTTCTATACATGTATGAATGTGGAGCCTTGAAACCTGTTGAAGTCATTTTAAGAAGAGGAATGGGCTAGGAGGGAAAATAATGGAAGGGATGACCCAAACCGGGATATGATATATATAGATATGATGATTAGTATATAAGTAACATATACTAATAAAATGTTTACTTAAAAAGGTGTAAGTAGAAATAAATAGAAACAAGATAAAGAATAAGTATCAGAGAAATTACTCAGTGTTTGAAAATCATGATGATACACATTTTGCTTCAATTTCTTTGTTCAAATTGCCTTAGTTTTGAGGAAAAATCATGAATAGGTAAATTATCAACTGCAAATCAAACAAACAATAGACTACAACTTTTTTTCTCATTTCACATAATAAAAAACAAAGCTGTTTTATAAGGAAGAACTATATTCTCCTGTCTTTTGACTTACAGCAATAATGCCTACTCATTTTGGTAATATCATCTGCTACTTTATAGTACATTAAAGTAGAACTAGTTGTTCTGCTGTAAAGTAGAACCATTATTGGTTATGGTAGAACAAGTAGCTCTATCAATGGTAATCAAAACAGTTAGCAAATTCAGAATTCAAGATTACTTTTATGTAGGGAAGTTGTAAAAACAGTTTACTTTCTTTAGCTTTTGAAGATCTTCCTAAAAAATTTTTTAATGTGAACACAACAACTTAAAATATTCACTAAAAATAAGCATGTCTTATAATTTCTAT